GAGGTTGCTAAATTTCCACAGGTTGTCCTATTGTATACTTGCGTTCAGAAGGATTGAACGAGGATTATTGGAAATCGTCAGCACGAAAACGTGCGTTCGGCCATTCCGCAACGACACAGCGATCGATGGCCGTCTGGGCGACGCTAAGCAGTTTGGGCAGAAAGGGAGGAACAATGTCTAACCCATCCTCTTACCCATTATATGGCAGCTGCGATGGTCCCGCACAGCCAGGCCCACACAATAACAATGTATAACACAGTGGGCAGGAAGGGTGGTGTGGTCAGCTGGGCAGGCTACTGAGAGGACTACGCCTCCCAGGTCAACTTGTTTACCTCTCTCCCACACCGATGTGATCGCGTCTGATGCGGGGACAGCCTATGTGCGTCACTTGTGTGCGTCACCCTAGCACTGTGAACGCCCAGTGAAGGGGAGCAGCGGGCCCTGCCCCCTTTCCCCTCCCCCCTGCTCCTAACAACAACAAACGCTTTTTCCTTGCCCCTCCTCCCTCTCCCCCCACCTCTAAGTGCGCATGTAAACCCCCGATCGATGCGGCCGGTATCAGTGGTGGTCAGAACGCGTCTCCCCCCAGCTTCCTCGCAGCAGCTTCCTCCTGCCGCCACCGGACATATGGCATATCGATCCCAGAGTTGCCAACCACCCGCTAATCCCTTTCATAATTCTCCTCTACTGCACTTGCCTTTAATTAATGTTGGTCTTGAGGACACTTAAAAAAAGAACACTACTACATAATCATGTTCTCAAGTTCATAAACTTCATGCCTCAAGGGTAAAAAAAAAAAAAAAAGGACAAAATAAATTCACAAAGAAAAAAAATATGAATAAACAAAAACTTTGGATAGAATTAAATACTACATATAATCAAGGCCTCCAGTCATCTTGACACCGTGAAAGAAAACATCGGCGTAATTGTAAATGCTAACAAAACCAACAAGGGCGGACTGCTCGACATAAGCTCTCAAACTCTCCCCCACATCTGTGAGTCATCGTTCATTACTTTTTTTTTCTTTTTAAGGATTAACAATGTCTTTTAACCTGAGTGAAATGTAATAAGATTTTGAAAACTTCCCATTACAAAAGTGTGGTCTGGGTGAGGGGGGCTAAAGACTGGAGAAAGAAAGATAGAGAGATTGAAAGAAAGAAAAAAATACAAGAATATCTTAAATTGCTAATAAATGATAGGAAGGAAGGAAAGTAAGAAAACACGGTGAAAAAAAAAAAAGGTAAAAGGAGGGAAGAAAAAGAATGAGACGAAATGTTTAGCAAACATGGGGCCTCCAGCCTACTACCAGAACAATTATGTACAAGAAGAGCACACAGTGTGGACAATGCTGCACCTGTACCAAATGGCTGGCTGCCATCCCAAACCTACTAGCCCTGCCTGTCTTCTGCCACAGAGGCCTCCCGAGCAGCCCAAACAAAGGCCTAGGCTGCCTAATGGAGATGGGCAATATGTCTCGTCTTAAAAAAGAAAAAGGAAAAAGAAAAAATGAAAAAAAAAAAAGGAAAAAAAAGAAAAAAAAAGAAGAAAAAAAAAAAAAAGAGATCAAGGATCTCTCACTCCGTTCCTCCACCAACAGTAGCCATGCCACATGCCCAGCCACAGGGAAAAGTGCCCTAATATGTAAACATTGTGTGAAGGGCATCTCCTGCCTACCTGTTATTACCCATGACAATGGGCATCATCTTTAACCTACCTGCCTGTCTATTTGCCCCCACTACCATACCCTAAACCCAACCCTGAGCTTCACCCCCTTCTCTCTCTCTCTCTCTCTCTCTCTCTCTCTCTCTCTCTCTCTCTCTCTCTCTCTCTCTCTCTCTCTCTCTCTCTCTCTCTCTCTCTCTCTCTCTTCTCTAAACCTTCCATTCTTCTAGCTTTTCCTTCTTTTAGTCCCACGTTCCCCTTTTCATCCCTTCCCCACCCTCAGCTCTTCTCCTCCTTCATCCGGCTCTTCCTCCCCTATTCTTCTCTCTTCTCCCTCTCCTTCCCTCCCTCCCTCCTCCCTCCTCCCTCCTCCCTCCTCAAAATTCCCCCACATCCTTCCTCCACCTCTCCACCCCCCCCGTCCTCTTTCATTTTCCCTCGTGTGATGACACAGCTTTGTAGAGTCGCCAGAGAAAAGAGAGAGGACGAAGAAATGCTGGTACAAGGGAGGCTACATCAGAAAAGCGATGGAAAAAAAGGAATAGAAAAATGAAGAAAAGAATATGAAGAAGAAAAAAGAAAAGGGGGGTGGGGGGGGGGAATTTTCCATTATGGAATTTCCAAATGCATTCATAATTCCTCTTTACTGGCATCTCATATCCTCTCCTTACTTTTTATCAAATGTACAGAGAAATAGCGTGATGCTGGTGGTGGTTTGAAAGCAATACCATAATTAAAAAGTTGCTTGAAAATAACCAAGTTTTATAAGGAGTTTCAACGACTGAAATAAAAAGAACAAATAATCTGTTTGTCCATAAGGATAAGAAAAATCACTCACAATATTCTCTAGGATGTAGTCGGGTTGACCAATCAGAGCGAACATGTGTCGTTGGCGGGTCTAGCTCGGGTAATATCCATTGTTCCGCGCACAGACACAATGAGAGGGACCAGCTGACCCACACCCCCTTACAGGCCTGCTGCAGCCGTGTCGCACGCACGCGCTCGATGCCTCACAGATGCCGTCTCGTTGCGGATGCCAAACAACCCATGAACTACTGTGCTGCTCCTCTCTCTCCTTATCCACCTGAAAGGAAAATGGAGCTTTAGTTCCTCGTCTCTTCCTTGCTCAATGAAAAGACATAAAAAACAAAATACTCACAGGAGCAGGGATAAAGCAGTAGAGAAGGAAGGAATAAAAATATCCACAAATTAATATTAAAAATCTGACATCCAGTCCGCCCACCCGAGCTCCCATATGTCAGCGTCGGCTATAAGGTTAAAAATCCTTTGCAAGCCAGCCAGTTGTGGGGCTTACAGCACAGCGGGGTGATATGGCAACCCCGCTGGGAGTGAGTTTTGCCGCAGTATTCACAATCTCCCTTTTTGGCCTTCCACTACAAAACTCCTCGACTCAAAAACACCATTATGGGCAAAGAAATGGTTTCTGCCTCTTACTGAAAGCTCTGCACAAAAAACCCATTATCGCCAACACAGAATAAATGCATAACGCAATTTTGTGAAAAAGGAGAGAGAAAAATCATCACAATGCAAAACAATGAAAGTAAGACAAAAAACAAAAAAACAAGAAATGAGCTTCCTCTCCCAAAAAGAATATAAAAAATAATAATTCCTGTGACAGCCCCACAACCAGAGCTAGCTTTTACCCTTTTCTGGTGCTCTCTTGTTCCATGAGGTGGGTTTTCCAGCCACGCACAAGGGCCGGACGCAGAGTGCAGCCCTGGCATTGCCGTGCGCTTGAATACAAATACACAATCATTGTTGCCAATACCTTTTCAAATGGGACATTCCACTCCCAGGTGCCATTATGCCAATCTGCTAATGAGCAAAAGACACAATGCATCTCTCTACAGTTTAGATCTAGAAAAAGGGAAAACAGAAAATGGGGGGAAAGAAGAAAACTGTAAAACTATTTCTAAAATGAATATAGAACAGAAATATGTAGTATGAATATAAAGGTATATAATACAAGAGAAGAGAGAGAGAGAGAGAGAAAAAAAAAAAAAAACAGTAATTACAGTTCTTTTAATGACCTGAAAAGGAACTAAACTAAACTAAATTAAATTTTAAAATCTATATAATTTAAACACTGAAGAGTAAATTAATGTGCACTAACAACAACAAAAATCCTATTTAAATCTGCTACCTTCGCCGAGTCTCATTTTAGGCTTGTCTGCTCCCAGTTCCTATCCCTACTCAATAAGCTCTCAAAAGACGCTTTACAAAGGAGGCGTATGGAGGACAGTGAGGAAGAGGATGAGGAGGATGCTGATGATGGAAAGAAAAGGAAAAACCCTGAAGAAGTGGAGGAGGAAGAGGAATAGGAGGAACAGGGACAGCAGCAGACAGACGGGAAGAGAGGAAACAGTACGCAAATGAAAAATCGAAAAAATGGTAGAAACGGGGGATGCATTGGATGAAAAAGATAATGAAGACCAGATCTAAAAGGGAGAGGATGCAGGAAAAACTGATGGTTCAAAAGAGGAGAACCCAATAATGAAGGACGTGGAAAATGAAAGAGGACGAGGAGGAGGAGGGGAAAAAGGGGGAAAAAAGGAAAAATGTTTGGATTAAAAGAAAGATGGTGATGATGATGATGATGATAAAGAGAAAAAATTAAAGACAAGGAGGACAAAGGGACATGAGAAAGCAAAGGATAATATCTGAGGAGGAACTGCTTGGGGGTATGAAATGGATGTGGAAAATAATGAGATAAAGAAAGTGGAAAGGTGAATATTTACAAGCAAGGGGAAGCGAGAAAAGAACAATGGGATGAACAGCAGAGGAGGTACAATATAGATGGGAAAAGAATAATCAATGCAGATTAGAGACAAAATATAATAAAAGTAAAGTAAGGAAAAGAGTGGAGACGGACTGAAGGGACGTAAAAAAGAAAGAAAAAAGAAAAAAAAGTAAAAAAAGGATAAACTGCTTAAAGAATCTGTATAAAGAGAAATAAGTTATCTAATAACAAACAAAGCACACAACAATGTTTTCTAACACATAATCACCTGTGGTCATTCTTCCAAAATGTCATTCGAGCCCATACAGAAAATAAACCAAACACTCATAATACATACAGCAAGAGGAGTTAGTGTATGCCCAGAACGAATCACAGCCCTCTCCTCCCTCCTTCCCTCCAGAGTCACTGAGGGATGTAACAAGCAGGTAGCACGTAATACTTGATGGTGGGGTGGCAGGTACTCTGGGAAATTGAGCGTGTAATGACATGGTCTTTCATCTGCTTACTACTTCCACAGGGAGCCTTGGAAACTTCTCCAACTATCTTTTTACATCCAAAAGGAAAGGCTGCCAGTGGTCCTCCAATCCCTGACTGGAGCATCTTCCTTATGTTTACAACAGCTGAACAGCTCTGGGGAGCCTAGAAAAATATCTAGAAGCAGTTTTGTTGTCCTTTTGACATAATCACTTTGCATTCCCCTACTCCACAGAAAAAGAACATCACACTGTGATAATTCCTCGGCCTAGCTAAAGAAAGTTGGTAACGGTTAGCTTCATGACAGTCAAGACTAGATGTTCCAAGATGCTATTTCACAAAATCAGCTTTTCATTACAGATGGCAGAGCTTGCTATTGGACAATTTATTGATTTTCAGTACTGACTTTTTTTTTTTTTCTTTCTTTTTTTTAAGGCACTAGAGTTATCAAAAATAACTGTGATGGTATTTGGTGATTAAGCTATGGCTCTAAGAGTGACATAACATGTTTCTACAGAGCTAAAGTCATTCCAATGATGTTAGAATTCTACAAAAAACTATTTTGCAGAAGTCCTCTAACCAAAAAGCAAACAATTAAGTGCTTCTTGAAAGTCTCAAAGATACTATCTCAAAAAGATATGCATATCATAAAAACTTGATACTCCATAAAATATTTTAAAAATGTTAATTCTGCATATTCATAAACAATACAAAAATATGTGAAGATTTAATTCCTTTTAAATCTTTTGCTAGGTAGAACAAACTCGCATTCATAACCTTTTGTTCCAAAACTGTAAAACCATTCTCCAGGTTTCCTGTTTATGGAAAGAAAAAAGGAAGAGGAGGGGAGGGGGGAAGAAACAAGAGGAGGGGAGGGGGGAAGAAACAAGAGCAGGGAGGGAGGAAAGGAAAGGCATAGGTAGGGTCAAGCAAAACAGAGAAGGGAGACTGAGTGTGGAAGACAGAGGGAGAGAGGGAGGGAGGTGAGGGGAGGAGAGGAGGGAGGGAGGAGAGGAGGAGAGGAGAGAAGAGAGAAGAGAGATGAGAGAGAGAGAAGAGAGAGAGAGAGAGAGAGAGAGGAGAGCGGATAGAGAGAGCAGAGAGGAGGGAGTGAGAGAGAGAAGAGAGAAGAGAGAGAGTAGAGAGAGAGAGAGAGAAAGGAGAGAGAAAGAAAGAGAGAGAAGAGAGAGAGAGGGAGAGAGGAGAGGAGAGAGAGAGAGAGAGAGATGAGAAGAGAGAGAGAAGAGAGGAGAGGAGAGGAGGAAGGATGAAGGCTGAGAGTAGATGAAAGAGAGAGAGAGGAAGAGGAGAAGAGAGAGAGAGAGAGTAGGAAGAGGGAGAAATGAGAAGAGAGAGAGAGAGGAGAGAGAGAGAGAGACGGAGAATGAGAGAGAAGAGAGAGTATGATGAGAGGAGTGACGGTGATGGGAAGAAGAGAGAGGAGAGGATGAAAGTAGAGGGACGTAGGAGGAGAGGATTTGGGAGAGAGCTCTGATTGAAGGGAGAGAGGATTGAGAGGAGAAGAGAGAGAGAGAAGGGATGGGAGCTAGATTAGAGGAGAGTTGGGTGAGAGATGAGAGGAGAGGATGCAGAGAGCTGAGAGAGTGGAAGAGGATCGAGAGATGAATGAGATAATCAGGAGAGAGAGAGAATGGAAAGGATGATGAGATGAGGTAGAGGATGAGAGACGGATGAGAGTGAGAGAATGAGAATAAGAGAAATGTGTGGTGTGGTGTTGTGTGTGTTGTGTGTGTGTGTGTGTGTGTGTGTGTGTGTGTGTGTGTGTGTGTGTGTGGTTGAGAGAGAGAGAGAGAGAGAGGAGAGAGAGAGAGAGAAGAGAGAGAGAGAGAGAGAGCAGAGAGAGAGAGAGAGAGGAGAGAGAGGAGAAGAGAGAGAGAGAGAAGAGAGAGAGAGAGAGAGAGAAAGAGAAGACAGAACAGAGAGAGAGACAGAGAGAGAGAGACAGAGAGAGAGAGATGAGGTAGAGAGAGAGAGAGAGAGAGAGAGAGAGAGAGAAGAGAGAGGAGAAGGAGAGAGAGAGAGAGAGAGAGGAGAAGAGAGAGAAGAGAGAGAAGGAGAGGAGAGAGAAGAAGAGAGAGGAGAGAGAGAGAGAGAGAAGAGAGAGAGAGAGAGAGGAGAGAGAGAGAGAGAGAGAGAGAGAGAGAGAGAGAGAGAAGGAAAGGAGAGAGAGGAGAGAGAGAGGAGAAAGAGAGAAGAAAGAGGGAGAGAAGATGAGAGAGAGAGAAGAGAGAGAGAGAGAGAGAGAGAGAAGAGAGGAAGAGAGAGAGAGAGAGTGTTGAGTGAGATGAGGGTGATTAGATTGTGGGAAAGAGAGAGAGAGAAGAAGAAGAGAGGAGAGAAGAAAGGAGAGAGAAGAAGAAGAAGCAGAAAGAGAGAGAGAANTATTATCTGTATTAGTACCTCCTCTACACAGTTCTCCATAAAGTAATACGCTATTGGTAATAATAACTTTCCTTATCCCAATGGAGATACAAAGTTTTATTGACTTTCTTAGTGTGTATATGAGGAGAAACTTTACTTAACTTAGGGCTATATGTTACTTTAGAATACCTTATGTAATTTGAATTGTTCATGTACGTGCACATATATCTGTTTTATATATACATACTAACACATGCACGCGTGTAGATAGAAGTACAGATACAGACAGATGATACTGTAATCTATTAATATTCCATCTTTCTTTCTTACTTTGCTATGATGGCTATATACTCACCACACACACAACATACACAGCACACACATATGTACATACATGCACACACACACACACACACACACACACACACACACACACACACACACACACACACACACAGGAAGAT